GTGCCGCAGCCCCAGGCCACCGAGATCCTGGCTGGTATTGACCCCCCAGCACCCCCTGGCACCCTCAGGACCCTCTAACCCTCTGCATCACCCTCCACCTGCCATCTGCATCCGCCTCATGGCCCCCCCGGGACACCCCACAGCAACAGCACCCTCCAAGCACCCTGTGGGACCCCCTCACATCCCACAGCTCTGGGGGGTCACCCCACAGCCACCCTCCAGGGACTCCTTCAGCCCCTTCGTGACCTCCTCAGGATCCCTTGGCACCCCCTCAGCCCTTCTGTCACCCCACAACTCCTCAGCCCCCCGTGTCCCCCCATGACCCTGCAGTTCCCCCAAGTCCCTCCAAACCCCTGTTCTTCCCCAGCTCTCTGTGACTATCCAGTCCTCCTATGACCCCTCAGCCCCCACGTCCCCCAGCCCCATATGTGTCTCCCTGTGTTTCCTTGTATCACCATGTGCCCCCATGACCAACCAGTTCCCCCATGAACACCAGCCCGCTGTGTGCCCCCAGCTCTCTGTGTCCCTCCCACGCATCCCCAGCCCTCCCGTGATCCCCCCACTGTGCCCCCCAGGACTGTCCCACCTGCACAAGCGCCGAGTGTTCCCCTGCTCGGTGCTGTCTGTGGAGAACCTGCAGAGTGAAGAGTCCAGGTGAGACCCCCCAAGACAGGGACCCCCATCTCGGCCCCCCCATTCCTGGGACCCCCTACCCTGGGACTCCCCCAGTCCCAGATGCTCATTCCAGGACCCTCGTTACTGGGAACCTCCATCCCTGGACCCCCATCCTCCTCCCCCCCGCCAAAACCCTGGGCCCCCATTCTCAGGGTCTCCATCCCTGGGACTCCCCAATCCCGGAGCCCCCCCAACCCTGGGACCCCCCATGTCCAGAACCCCCCGCACTCCAGAGGCCCCCATCTCTGGGACTTTCACCCCATGTGTTCCACCCCTGCCACGCTGACCCCTCCGTGCCCCCCAGCCGGCAGACGCTGCTGGTGCGGGTGGGCTGCGAGGGGCAGGAGGGGCTGCGGCACCTGCCCGGGGACCACCTGGGCGTGTTCCCCGCCAACCGCGAGGAGCTGGTGCGGGGAGTCCTGGAGCGCGTGGAGGACCCGCCGCCCCCCGAGCAGCCCTTGGGGCTGGAGAGCCGCGACGGGGACCCCGCAGGTACGGGAATGAGGACACAGAGGGGATGGGGGGAACCCCGCCGGTACGAGGGGGCACACAGGGGGACAGGAGGATCCCCGCTGGTCCGGAGAGGGTGACACAGGAGGGGTGGGAGGGACCCCGGTGGTATGGAACGGGACGGGGCGGGGGGGGACCCCCATTAGGGACCGAGATGGGGGGACAAGGGGGACACACCAGTACGGGCAGGGGCTGAAGCTTGGGAAGGAGCTGGGAAAGGGGAAAAGGTCGGGGAAGGAGACGAGGAAGAGGAAGGGTATGGGGAAGGGGTTGGGAAAGAGGAAAGGAGAAAGAGTTGGGGAAGGGGCTGGGGAAGGGAATGGGAATGGGGCTGAGGAAGGGGGAAAAGAAGGGGCTAGGGAAGTGGGGAAGGGACAGGACAGTACTGAGCACCCCAATGCCCCGCCCCCCACAGGCGGGTCCCCTCCCGGACCACGCTGGGTGCTGCAGCCGCGGCTGCCGCCCTGCACCCTGGCCCAGGCTCTCACCTTCTACCTGGACGTGGCGACCCCCCCGACCCCGCAGTTCCTGCAGCTCCTGAGCTCGCTGGCGCGGGACCCCGCGGAGCGGGAACGGCTCCAGAGCCTGGCGCAGGTGAGGGGCGTCACCCCCGGGGACAGAGGCTGGAGGGGCAGGAGGCTGGAATGCTGGCCCTGTCCATGGCCGGATACTGGGATCCCCAGCTGGGATACTGGGGTGCCACCCTGCCAGGGTGACTGCTGGTCCCTTTGCCTGGCTGCTGGGTGAGTGTCCTAGACAGATGCCAGGTGCTGGGTGCCCGCTGTCCCAACCGTCTGCCAGGTGTGGGGTCCCAGCGGTGTGCCGCGTCCCCATGTCCCGACCGTGTGCCCGCAGGACGCGCGGCTGTACGAGGAGTGGAAATGGTTCCGGTGCCCGACGTTGCCGGAGGTGCTGGCCGAGTTCCCGTCCGTCGCTCTGCCGGCCGCGCTGCTGCTCTCCCAGCTCCCGCTGCTCCAGCCCCGCTACTACTCCATCAGCTCCGCGCCCGGCGCCCACCCGGGCGAGATCCACCTCACCGTGGCCGTCGTCACCTACCACAGCGAGAGTGAGCGGGGACAGGGACGGGCACGGGGCGGGGGGGCTTCCAGGGCATCTCCAGGGTCCTCAGGGCACCTCCAGGGCATCTTCAGAGTACCCCAAGGTCTCCAGAGCATCTCCACAGTCCCCAGGACATCCCCAGGGTACCTCCAGGGCCTCAGGGCCTGGAGGTTGTACCATCTTCAGGGCCCCTCCCGGGTACCCAAAGCATCTCCAGTGTCCGTAGAGCATCCCCTGCCTGGGGAGGGGAGTGTCCCCAGCCCCTGCGGGGGAGCTCTCTGGGGGGCTGCCTTTTAGGGTGCCGCCTGCCGCAGCCCCCACAGACCCTCCCGGTCCCCACAGACGGGCAGGGCCCTCTCCACTACGGCGTCTGCTCCACGTGGCTGGCGCGGCTGCAGCCGGGGGACACGGTGCCCGCCTTCATCCGGGGGTAAGGGACTGTCCCCCTTGTCCGCCTGCCTGCCCCCCATCCTGCTCCCTGCCTGCTCTCCCTGTCCGCTCCCTGTCGCCTTCTGCTCCCCCGCCTGTCCCTTCACTGTCCCCTCCCACATGTCACTGCCGGCCCCCGCTCCGCCCCCCCGACTACATCTCCCGGCATCCCCGAGCAGGGGCTGGGCCCGGGTCCCCCCACGGTGACACCCTCACCCCTGCAGGGCCCCCTCGTTCCGGCTGCCGCCCGCTCCCGACACCCCCTGTATCCTCGTGGGCCCCGGCACCGGCGTCGCGCCCTTCCGGAGCTTCTGGCAGCACCGGCTGCACCTCCTGCACACCGAGGGTGGGGACAGCGATGGGGCTGGGTGACGGGGGGGACAGGGGGAACGGGAGGACACAGGGACATGGTGGGGGGAGAGGTGGATGGGGGACTTAGGGAGGGGGTACATGGAGATAGGGACAGTGAGGGCATAGGGGACAGGGGAGATGGAGATGGGGGACACGGGGATGGGGGGACACGGGAACACAAGGTCATGGTGGCACTGGGATGCGGGACAAAGGGGCATAGGGACACTGAGAATGGTGTTGGGGATGTGGGGACATGGGGAAGGGGATGAAGGCCTGGGATATGGGGATGGGGGGATGTGGGGATGCAGGGACATGGGGGGAGCAGGGCTGCAGGGTATGGGGACACGAGGACACAGTGTGCAGGGACCCAGAGACACTGTCCCCGCAGGTGTCTCCCTGGGCCCCATGGTGCTGGTGTTTGGGTGCCGCTCGTCCGCCCTGGACCACATCTACCGCGAGGAGATGGAGCAGGCGCGGGAGCAGGGGGCCCTCAGCCAGGTGCTCACAGCCTTCTCCCGTCAGCCGGGCACCCCCAAGGTGCGACGGGGACAGGAATGGCATGGGGACAGGATGGGGACAGACTGGACTAAGGATGGAGCTGGGGAGGGGGTGCAATGGGGACAGAAATGGAAGGGATCCATGGTCAGGCACTCACAGCTTTCTCCTGCCAGTCTAGAACCCCCAAAGTGTGACAGGACAGGGATGGGATGGGGACAGGGATGGGATAAGGACAGGATGGAGGGGCCCCTCAGCCAAGGTGCTCATGGCCTTCTGCCACCAGCCTGGGACCTCCAAGGTGGGATGGGGACAAGGACAGGATGGGGACAGGGATGGAGCTGGGGAGGGGGCTGTGATGGGGCCAAGGACAGGGATGAGATGGGGACAGAAATGGAGGGAACAGGGATCAGTGGGTGACACAAAGCCGGGGATGGAAGAGAGAAGCCAAGGACCCATACGGGGACAGGGACAGGATGGGGACACAAAGGGATGAAGGGAGGGGTGCTGGGGACACAGATAAGGACAGAGACAGCACACAAAATGTCAGGATGGCGATGGGGACCTGGGATCAGGTTGGGTGGTGCCAGGTGCCATCGCCCCTGCGGTGTCCCCAGACGTACGTGCAGGATGTGCTGCGGGCACAGCTGGCAGCTGAGGTGCACCAGGTGCTGTGCCAGCGCGGGGGTCACATGTACGTGTGCGGGGACGTCACCATGGCCACCGAGGTGCTGCAGACCGTGCAGCACATCCTCGCCCAGGAAGGAGACATGACGCTGGGGCAGGCGGGGGACGTCATCAGTGAGCTGAGGGTAAGGGCTGGGACATGGCGGGGGACACCATGGGGACACCGCAGGGGACCCTGGCCCCACCCTGACCCCCATCCCACAGGACAAGAACCACTACCACGAGGACATCTTCGGGCTGACGTTCCGCACGCAGGAGGTGGCCCTGCGCATCCGCAGCCAGTCCTTCTCCCTGCAGGAGCGGCGCCCGCCGGGCCCAGCGCCCTGAGCGTGGGGACACGGGGGGCCCTGTGGCTGTGCCCCCTGTCCTGCCACTCCCCAGTAAAGGTTTTAGTTTTGATACCTCCGGCCTGGCTCTTCAGCTCCTGCAGTGCCACTGGGGAGGGGATGGGTTCTGTGGCACCTCTGAGGTCACCTGGCCACACACGGGACATGAGGGGTGGGAACCAGGGGGTTGAGGGGACACATCCACACTCTGGCCACGAGGAGTGGGGGGACATGGCCAAGGTCCCACAGCTCCAAGGGGTGAGCAATGGTGGGAGGGGGGACGTGGCCACGGCCCTGTGGCTCACACCTGTGCAGCTGCAGGTGAGTGGCCCCACCCCAGCAGCACTCTTACCACCTGCCCGTGCACCCCAGTGTCACCCCCAAACTGCCACAGCCCCATCCATGGCATCATCCTTCTAGCTCCACCCAGCCCACCCCCCCAAGCAGACAGGGGGCACAGCCCCTCTGTAAACCTTTATTTCAGCTGGTGCCCAGGGCACCATGGGAGGCACCAGCCCTGTGCACCCCGGTAAACACAGCACATGGGGGGGCCCCTGGCAGCACCCCCAGCCCCACACCACAGCATGTAGACCAGGGACACCCCAAGTGGGGGGCTCCCACAGGCAAGGCCCCCCCAGCAGCACAGTGGGCACAGCAAGCTCCCTACTGCAGCCACCCCGTGCCCACAGCAGCTCCCCTGGCACCTCTGTGGGGTCTTGGCACAACCAGGGCTCTGTGGAGGGAATGGGGCATCAGTGGGGACCCCAGAGTGGGGACCCTGGCACATGTGGCAGCCAGACCCTGGTGAACCCCAGCTCTGGGAGTCTCTCTGTCCCCAGCCCAGGGAGTCCCCATGTCCCACCTCCAGGAGTTTTCCATGTCCCAGTCCTGAGAGTCCCCATGTCCCCAGCCCTGGGGGTCACCGTGTCCCACCCCAGGGTCTCCCTGTCCCCAGCCCTGGGGGTTCCTGGGCCCCGTGCTCCCACCCACCAGAGCTGGGTCCGGCTATGTCATCGTAATCGTCTCTTCTTCCTCCTCCTCCTCCTCCTCCTCCTCTTCGGCCCACCCGCCCAGCGGCATCTCCCGCAGCTGCGAGGCCCGGGAAGCTGAGCCTGGGGGGCACAGGGCAGGTCAGAATCCCTGGGACCGCCCCGTGGCCTTGGCTCAGGGCTGAGCCCTGTGGGTGGAGGGTTGAGCGATGTCCCCCGGCCCCATAAAACCCCCTCGTGGCCGGTGCTCACCTGTGGTCACGAAGAGGGGTTTGGGTGCCCCCGTGGTCACCCACCCCGCTGCAGGCTGGGGGCCAGAGCCCTGTGGCTGCTGCTGCTGCTGGTGGAGCTGGGGAGGCAGGAAGAAGGGTCAGAGCCCCCCAGCACAGCAGAGACCCCCATATTAGTGCTCAGAGCCCCACAGAGACAGCACACCAACACGGTGGGCAGAGTCCCCCAGAGGCAGCCAGAGCCCCCCACAACAGCACTGCTCCCCCATATTGGTGGTCAGAGTCCCCCCAGAATTGATGTTCCGAGCCCCCCCACCATAGCAGAGCCCCCCCACCGCCATATTGGCACTCAGGGCCCCCCTATGACAAGCTGCCTCCCCATGGGGCAGTAGGAAAGGGGTCCCCCCCCATGACACCCCTGGCCACTGAAGGGGTGGGTGGGAGAAGTGGGACACGTGTGGCACTGGCCACGGGGCCTCATTCCCAGTGCCCTATCTGGCAGTGGCTGTGTGAGGGGGCAGCCTGGAACAGGGTTGGGGACAAGAAGTGGAGGTCAGAGACAAGGGGTGAAGGACAAGGGATGTGGGACAGGTGCCAGGGCCAGGCAGGACCCCTCGGGAATGAGGGCAGAGCAGCTGGACAGTGACACTCTGGGGGGTAGGGGGACCCCGGAGGACCCCAGGGGATATACCTGGTGCAGGTAGATGGCATGGAGGCTCATCTCGGCCGAGGCCACCTCAGCCAGCAGTGCCGAGCGACTCAGGCTGCGCAGCCGCGACTCGCTCAGCGCTGGCCTGGGGGGACCACATGGGGAGGGCGACGTGATACCCCCACCACGACACCCCCTCTTCACCGTGACACCCCTGAGCCATTGTGACAGCCCCCTCTCCCCCACGACGCTCCGTCCCTGCCTCGACAGGTGTGCCCCACCACAACACTCCTCCCCGCCATCCCCTTCCCGCTGTGACACTTCCTCCCCAGCGTGACACCCACGAGTCACTGTGACACCACTCCCTGCTGTGAAAGCCCCTCCACGATACCCCCTCCCCGCCATGACACCCCTGAGCCGTGACACCCATCCCTGCCATGACACCCTCCTGACATCCCTAAGCCACCACCACAGCCCTTTCGGCCACGACCCCCTGTCCCCACCACAACACACCCTCCCTGCCGTGACACCCCCTTCCTGATGCCCGCTCCCCCTGTGATGCCCCCTCTTCACCACAACACTCTTCCCCTCCATGGCACCCCCTCCCCACCACGACACCCCTCGCTGCTGCCATACTCCTCCCCAAAGCCCCCTCCCCACGCTCCCCCGTCCCCACCTCTCCTCGGGGCTCAGATGCTCTCTGGGGCTGTCGGGAGCTCCGCGACCCTGCCCTGGCAGGGGTGTGCCCGGGGGGGTCCCCAGAGGGGTTCGCAGGGACGCCAGCAGGCTGGCGGTGGCGCTGGCCGTGCTGCAGGGCTGCCCGAAGCGGGGGTCCCGGGCCACCAGCCCGCTGGCGATCAGGACACTGGTCACCAACCCCTCGGGCTGCAGGGACACGCATCAGGGGAGGACCCCAAAAGACCCCGCAGCCCTCCCAAACCTCCCCCACTCACCGCCAGGGCCGAGTCCTCGGACAGGAGGGACGCGGCCAGCGGCCCCTCGGCCAGCAGGGGCCGGGCGGGTGGCGCGGTGGCCGCGTCGCGGGTCACCTGCGCGTGCAGGTGGCCGAGGAAGCGGCGGGCGGGCGGCGGTGGCCGCCACCGCGGGTTGCTCAGGGCGAAGCGCATCAGCGACAGCTCCGTCTTCCCGTGCTCCGCTTGGCGCTCCGGGGGGGCCTCCGTGTGACCCCCCGACAGCCACTGCGGGGACAGAGACATGGGACACCCTGACACGGGACCCCTCACCCCAATCACCCACTACGGGGGTCCTCTGTGTGGCCCCCAGACACCCACTGCAAATACAGGGACATGGGACACCCCCACACGGGTCCCTCTGCCCCGGGACCCCCCACCCCCGTCCTACCCCGCCCCGGGTCCTCCCGAGCCCCCCCAGGGTCCCACCTGGGGGTTGCCGTGGTGCCGCACGTCCAGCTGCGCGAAGGAGCAGATGTCGCCCACCCCCGCCACCTCCACCGTGAAGTTGCGGAAGAAATCCACGATGTCGAGGGCGCGGGGGGGGAACGCGAAGATGAGGATCAGGGGGGTCACAAGGGGGCTCAGCAGCTCCTCCAGGATGAAAACCTGCGTGGGGGACAGGGGAGGCTAGGGAGGTCCCAGCGAGGGGGTCCCTGGGGTGGGAAGTACTGTGGTGGGAGGTCCAGGGTGGGGGTTCCAAGGAGTTGGTCTCGGGAGGGGAATCCTGACCCACTGGGGAGGGGTTTCTCAGGTGTAAGGGGTCTTAGGGCAGTGGGTCCCAGGGTGGGGTTACTGGAGATGGGGCATCCTCAGCTTCGGGGGGCCCCAGGTTAAGGGGTCCCAGGGTGAGGGATTCCAAGGCATGGAGGTCCTGCCACAGGGAGTCTTGGGGCATGAGTGTCCTGGCATGGGTGATTCCAGGGTGGAGGGTCCTTGGAAAGGGAGTTCCCACTCTGTGGGGTCCAGGGGGAGGGTCTCAGGGAGGAGGGTCCCGTGGCAAGGGGGGCTGCACTCACCGCCTTGTACTGGAAGAGCTGTGCCATCTCCGCGCGCGTCTCGGCACGGCCGGCGCGGCCCTGCCAGTGCTCGGGCAGGTAATGGACGTGTGCCAGGACCCGCTGCAGCAGCTGCTCGGGGCACCACACCGAGTGCTCGTCAGGGATGAAGGACCTGGTGGCAACAGGCAGGGGTCCCACCTGAGCTCCCCTGCCCACCCAGCACGGCACAGAGCCCGGCACACACACCACGATTGCCAGCCCCAGCACCCACCTGGCCACGGTGACCACCAGCCCCAGCAGCGTGATGGCTGTCAGGATGTGCTGCACCGTCAGCACGTCCTCGTCGTACACGGTGAGGACGATGAGCACGGCCAGCACAGAGCCGGCGAAGAAGCCGACGTGCTGGGCCAGCACGGCCAGCAGTGGGCTGCTGAACGAGTCCATGTACTTGGTGGCCGGCGCGTGGCCGCGGCTCAGCCGTGCCTGCAGCTCGTGGCCCAGCTCGTTGAAGTGCCGCAGGTAGTGGCGGGCGTAGAGCGACCAGCGGCGCGCGCCCAGGCTGCCCGGCGCCCGCTTCAGCCCCTCGGCGTAGCTGAAGAAGGCGAGGAGCAGGCGCCAGCCCAGTACGCAGGGGCACAGCACCAGGTTGGCCACCCCCAGCAGCACGGCTGCCCGCGCCAGTCCCCGTGCCAGCGCCTGCCGCGCCCCCGCCCGCTTCACCTGCGGCCGCAGGCTCCAGGTGTTCTGGAAGAGCGCGGTCGGGCCCCGGAACAGCAGCAGTTCCAGGTTGAACTGGAGGCCTCGAGTGAGGAAGACAACGGGGCCGAGCAGCGGGAGGTGGAAGCGCATGGGCAGCAGGGACTTGTTGACCATGGCCACGGTGTAGTTGCGGAAACGCAGGATGCGGTGGTGGATGTCGAGCTCCGTCAGCTCCCGGCGTGGCACACACAGGGGTTGGCGTCGCTGCAGCGCCAGCAGCCGGGCCTGTACTGACTGCCAGCTGTGGTTACACAGCTCATCCTGGGACAATGACACGGACATTGGTACAGCATGGCACAGTGTCTCTCAGCATCCCCTGCCAGTTGTGGTTGCACAGCTCCTCCACTGACAGTGGCAGTGATTGGCACTGGCACTCCATGGCACAGCTCAGCACAGCATAGCATCACAGCATCAGTGGCACTGCTCAGCACCGTGTGATACAGCTCAGCATGGCACAGCCCAGCACCACACAGCACCGGCGTGGTGCAGCATGACGTGGCATATCTCAGGACCATGTGTCAATGGCACGGCTCAGCCAGCACCATACAGCACAGCATGGTACGGTTCAGCATGGCACAGCTCAGTGCCACATGTCACCACGTGACACAGTCCTGACCCCAGCCCATCCCTGGCCCTCCCCAGCCCCTCCAGCCCCCACTCACAGCAGGGATGCCGAGTGCTCGGATGTAGAAGCTCCGGATCTCCCAGTAGCCCACGAGGCGCCGGAGTGCCGTGACCAGGCGGCACAGCCAGACCATGCCCGCCAGCACCAGTAGGAACAGCAGCCACCCACTGCCACGGAGCCTGTGGGGACACAGGTGTCACCAGTGCCACTAGGACCCCTATGGCCACTTGCTGCCATGGAGTGTGCAGGGACACAGGTGTCACCAGTGCCACCTGTGTGCCACCAACCCCCTCATGGTCAGCCGCTGTCAGGGAGTCTTCAGGGACACGTGTGTCACCAGTGCCCCTGGGACCGCCCCACGTCCATGCCAGCAGGCCCAGCAGCCACCTGCTGCCACGGACCCTGCTAGGGACACATGTCACCCACAGCACCGGGACCCCACTGGGTCGCACCAGTGGCACTGGGACCCCCATGTGGCCACGCCACCAAGGCCAACAGGGACAGCAGCCACCTGCTGGCAAACGTGTCACCTGCAGTACTAGGACCCCACGTGTCACCCACAGCACCGGGCCCCTGCAGAGCCCTCCCGGTATCCCTGCCCACCTGCGGGCGCACTGCGGGGCGGGCAGCACGGCGTCGGGCAGTGTCACCTTGGTGTGCTCGGGCACGTGGCTCTGGTTGAGGGGGCGGGTGGCAAACAGGACGTCATAGTCGACGCAGCACAGCAGGAACGTGCTGAAGGTGACGACGAACAGGAACTGCCTGGGGGGCAGGGGGGTTAGCGGGATCCTCGTGTCAGGCCCACGTGGCACCGTGTGGTGACAACGTGGTATCACTTACACTAGCTCGAGGACATCTGAGAGCACAACGCAGGCAAAGCCGTTCCTCTGGTGGAAATGGTAGATGTAGGGCGGGTTAAGGAACCTGTGAGGGTGTGACAGACCCCCCTGTGCCATTCCCCCATTCTTGGGGTCCTCCCATGTCTGTCCATGTTCCCCCACAGTGCCACCAAGGGCTGTGCCAGGATATTTTGGTGAAGAAACTGTCCAGATCCTTGATGTGGTGCCACGAGTCTGTGGGGGAAAACACATGGGAGTCAGGTGGAAATGGACCTCCACAGCCTGAGACCCCCAGCTTGGGAGCCACAAATCCCCACCTGGGACTGCTGCCTGAGACAAACAACCACCACCTGGGACCTACAAATCTCCTCACCCGGGACTCACAACCCCCCAACCTGGACCCCCAGACAGCCAACGCAGACCCCTGAATCCCCCGCCAGGTGGGGCCCCGGTACCTGTTGGCCCCTCGGTGACGTGCAGCAGCAGCTCCTCCTCATCCTCGCCCGGGGGTGAGTCCTCGCAGTCATCCAGCCGCTGGTATTCCCGGTATTCTGGGTACTCCGGGTCCTTCTCTTCCTGCTCTGCCATCACCTGTAGGGACACCTGTCGGCACCGGCTGCCGCGGTGGGGTGGATGTGGGGCAGGTGGGGGGGGAGGGCAGGTTTAGGGCACCGGAAATGCCACTGAGGTCCCGCAGCGTCACCCGCATGCCCTAAATTCGGGTGGCCTGAGCTGGCCCCGGCCTCAGGCAAGTGACACTACAGATGACACCGCAGGTGCCACCGGCCTGTCCCGTCCCACCGGCTGAACCAGTGCCAGGGCCTGCCATGACCCCACGGGGCTCCCGGGACAGACCCCTCCTGCCCAGCCCGAGGGACCCCAATTCACCCCTCAGCTGCTCCCTGGGCCCTGGCTGTGCTGCCCCCCCAGCCTGAGTGGGGGGAGCCCCCTCGGACGCCCGTACCCAGAGCCCCCACATCCCTCATTTCCACAGAACCCCTCGCTACAGTCCCCTGTACCCACAGACCCCCACCCCACAGACCCCCTTTCAGAGCCAGGGGGCAGCAGCCAGGAGTGGGACGAGCTCAGGGCCAGCCCACTGTCCCAGTGGCCTCTCAATGCCCTGGTGACCCCCTGCCCGGGAGAGGACGGGACCCCCCGCTGGGGCAGGGCAGGACCCCAAACCCTCGGGACAGGACCACCCCCCAGGGCAGGGGAACCCCCAGCCCCCAAGGGCAGGACAGGACTCCAAACCCTTAGAAGGGACCGTCACCCCCTGGTGACTCCATCCCCCGGCGCAGGATGGGATCCTCACCCCTGCAGCAAGACAGGACCCCCAACCCCGGAGCACGACGGGACCCCCCGACCCCCCCTCCCTTACCGCCACCTGCCGCTGTTCCCGCAGCCCCGCGTGTCACCTGCGTCCCCCGCGGTGGCCGCAGCCGGTGTCCGGCCGGGCCGGTGGCCGCAGGTGACACCGTTCGGCCCCTCCTGTCCGGGGTGACTCACGGCGCGGGACCGCGGCCGCGGGGCTGCTGCGGCAGGAGGAACGCGACCCCCACTTGTGCAACACCCCCCTGGGGACAGCGGCCGCGTCCCCCGGGATCGGGTGTCCCGGCAGGTGACACCGGCACGGCCCGTCCCACCCCCAACGTGCCCCGCACCGGACGGCCAAAAATACCCGCGGGGCCCGAAAATAGCCCAAGAGTGTAAACAGCGGGGGGGCCGGGGGGACCCCCGGGCCGGGGCCGGGCAGCCGGGACCCCTCCGGGGTCAGGGGACAGAGCGCAGGGGACACGGTACCCGGGGGACACGGTGGCCCCAGGCAATGGCCCCGGTGACCCTGCCAGCACGCAGCTGTGTCCCCGCAGCGGCACCTTGTCACATGGGGACCCTTGCGACCCCGCGTGGGGACACAGCAGGGTCACAGCCCCACGGCGACATCCCAGTGGTGACACGCGACCCAAAGTTGACACACGGCTGCCCCGCGGAGACAGGGGCACGGCACGTCGGTGACTCCCGGGAGTGACCCGGACCCGCCGGGGTCGCACGTAGGGACAGGGGCAACGCCACGACTGCCGGCGGAGACACCTGCCCCGGTGTCCCCGTGTCCCCCGCCGTGGGGGTCCCGGGACGGCGGCCGGGCTGGGGGACCCCGGGGAGGAGGGGGGTGTCCCCGCACGGGGTACAGCGGGGCTCTGCCACCCATCTCCTGTCCCCACCGTCCCCGTCCAGGTGTCCGCGCCCCCCTCACCTGGCCGCTCGGTGCTGGGTCGGTCCCCGCTGTGCCCGCCGCTGTCCCCGCCGGTGCCGGGCGTTCACGGGGCCCCGCGCCCGCCCCGGGTCCCGCCGCCGGCCATGGCCGCACCGGCAGCGGCCCCGGGGGGCAGCGGAGGGTCCCGGTGAGGGGTCCGAGCTCCAGTGGGGGGTTCCCGGTGCGGGTCTGGGGAGTCCGGAGGAGGCCGCGAGGAGGGTGGGAGTGCAGGGACCAGGAGCTGGAGAGGGTGAGGTGAGGAGCCCGGGAAAGGGCCCGAGGGGTCGGGGAAGGGCCGGTGCGGATGGGGCCGGCGCAGGGACCGGGCCGCGGTGTTTGGAGCTCCGCCCGACTGGGGCCGCCCGCCCCCGGTCCCTCCCCGTGCCGCCCCCGGGACCGCCCCCCTCCCGGTGCCGCCCCTTCGTCCGGTCCCTCCCCGGTCCCTTCCCGTGCCGCCTCCGGTGCCGCCCCTTCGCCCGGTCACTCCTCAGTCACTCCCTGGTACCTCCCGGTGCCGCCCCCGGTGCCGCCCCTTCGCCCGGTCACTCCCCGGTCCCTCCCCGGTGCCTCCCGGTGCCGCCCCCGCCCGGTGCCGCCATGCCGCTGCCGCTGTTGCTGCTGCGGGCGGCGGGCGCTTGGACCCGGATCCGACCGACCTCCACCCCGGGCCGAAGGTACGGCGCGGAACGGGGGGTCCCGCGGGGGTCCCAGACTTCCGATTCCCTTCAGTGGGAGGGGAAGGAACCCCAATTCGTGGTGAACAGAGTCCGGACTTTGGGGTCCCGGGGGAGCAGGGGGGCTGTGGAGGGATCGGGGCTCCCAGGGAGTTCAGGGGTGCGTGGACATCCCGGGGCAGCGGTTGGGGGGGCGGATCGGGGAGGGCACGATACAGGGACAGGTGCTGGGGAGCCCCAGAGGGATCCTGGACTCTTTGCAGTGGGGGGAGCTCAGACTGCAGCCCCGGGGTGTCCCGGGATCTCAGACTCACAGGTCCCTTGGGTGGTGGGGGACCCCAACTCTTGGTGTGGGGATGGTGGGAGGAGCGGGGACTCAGGGATCATGGTGGGTCCCTGAGGATCCCCGAGGGTCCCAGTGGGCATCTGGACTCCTGGCTCTCTTGAGGGGTGAACCCCAACTCTTGGTGGGGTATGGTGAGCCTGAACCCTGGGGTTGTGAAGGGTCCCAGCGGGGTCCTGAACTCCTGAGTCCCTTTGTGGTGGGAACTGGGGCTCTGGGGTACCGGGTGGTCTGTGGTAGTCCATGGAGGCTGGGGGGGGTGGTCGGGGCTCCCAGGGCCCCAGAAGCAGGAACAGGGGGAGCAGCAGGAGCAGGGTTGGGGTCTCCCTGCACCAGGCGGCCCCAGGCAGTGGGGGGTGTTTACCCTGGCAGGGGTCTCCAGGCTCCCCCCATTGGGACACTCTATGCTCACTCCTCTCCCCAGTTTCAGGTATGGGGGGGGCCGCCTGGGTCTGGCCAGGCCCCCCCGGCTGCCCCCCGGCTGTCCCCGCGCCCCCACCCCTGGCCTCCCGGTGCCTGCTCCTGGCTGGCTCAGCCACGGGCTCTGTGGTGCTGGGGCTGCTGGGCACGGTCGCACGCTGCCAGGAAGCCACTGTCCCTGCTGGCCCCACGGTCCCTCCTGGTGTCCCTGAGCCCGCGGAGCCTCCCCTGGAGCCTCCCTTCGACTGGCAGCTGTTCTGGACCTTCCTGCGCCCGCAGCTCCTGGCGCTCTCTGCCGCTGTCGTGGTGAGCAGGGGCAGGCGGGTGGCCACGGTCCCCTCATCCCCACTGTCCCCTTGTCACAGCTGTGCTGGGGGATGGCACATGCTGTCCTGGTGCCACAGCACAATGGCCAGGGGCACGTCCCAGTGCTGGGGCACGATGGCCACTGTCCCGTTGCCACGGTGTGACACCTGCAGTCCTGGTGTCACAGCATGACAGTCACTGTCCCACTGCCACAGTGTGATGGCCACGGTCCTTGTGTAGTGGCATTGCACCTGCTGTCCCCATGCCACGATGTGACAGCCACCGTCCTGGTGCCGTGGTGTGACGGCCACTGTCCCAGTGCCATGGCCTGAACCTGCCGTCCCTGTCCGTGTCCCCGCAGCTGGCGCTGGGCGCGGCCCTGCTCAACGTGCGCATCCCGGTGCTGCTGGGGCAGCTGGTGAACGTGGTGGCCCGGTGTGCCCACGGACACGTCCCCACGTACCTGCGGGAGGTACGGCGCCCGGCCCTGCGCCTCCTCGCCGTCTACTGCCTGCAGGTGAGTGGTGACCTCCCTGAAGGGCAGGTGCTGGGGGGCCCCAGGGGTGCCTCCACCCCTCCTGACTCCCCCTCCCACAGGGGCTGATGACCTTCGGGTACATCGCGCTGCTGGCGCGTGTCGGTGAGCGGGTGGCCGGCAACATGCGCAAGGCGCTCTTCACCACCCTGCTCAGGTAACCCGGGGGGACGGGGGCAAGGGGGGAGCAGGGGGAGCAGGGACCCCCACCCACCGCTCCCCTGGCAGGCAGGACGTGGCCTTCTTCGACGCCACGCGCACAGGGCAGTTGGTGACGCGGCTGACGGCCGACATCCAGGAGTTCAAGTCCTCCTTCAAGCTGGCCATCTCCCAGGTGAGGTCAGGCCTGTCCTGGGTGAGCCCGGCGGCCCCCTGGCCCCCAGCCCCCCCACCTACCGCACTCCCCACCCCAGGGCCTGCGCAGTGGCACCCAGACCGCTGGCTGCTTCGTGTCGCTGTACCTGCTCTCGCCCAAGCTCACAGGACTCTTGATTGTGGCGCTGCCGGTGCTGGTGGGCGCTGGGGCCTTCATCGGCGCCTTCCTCCGCAGCCTCTCCCGCCAGGCACAGGAGCAGGTAACCATCACGTGCCCCCAAAGCCCAGCCCTGCCACCCCCAGGGTCCACAGCTGGGGGTGTCCCCACTGTCCCCCCTCTCCCCACAGGTTGCCAAGGCCACCGTGGTGGCAGACGAGGCGCTGGGGAACGTGAGGACTGTACGCGCCTTCGCCATGGAGAAGCAGCAAGCAAGGTAAGGGAAAGGGTGGAGGGCTTGGGGGCTGCAAGGGGCAAGGGGCGGCAGTGGGGACCCCAGCCTGTCCCTGTCCCAGGCTGTTCTGTGCCGAGGTGGACCGCTCTGGCCAGCTGAGCGAGCGGCTGGGGCTCGGCATCGCCGCCTTCCAGGGGCTCTCCAACCTGGCACTCAATGGTGAGTGGGGGCCGTGGGATGGGACCTGGGGGCTGTGGGTCAGGACCCCTTCCAAACACCACCTCTGTCCCCCACCCCACAGGCATTGTACTGGGAACCATCTTTGTCGGCGGCTCCCTGATGGCAGGGGACGAGCTCTCGCCAGGTGACCTCATGTCTTTCCTGGTGGCCTCGCAGACAGTGCAAAGGTCAGGGCAGGGCCCGGTGTTGCCCCGAGTACCCCCAGGGCCCCCCATTCCCCACAGCCTGCCCTGGCACAGCCCTGAGTGCAGCCTCTCCCCTTGTGCACCCCAGGTCCTTGGCCAACATCTCCATCCTGATGGGGCAGGTAGGTGGGGCAGGGGCTTCTGGCACCCCCAGGGCTGGCGCTCTGGGTCTGGGAGTCTGAGGGTGCTCCCACTGCTCCCCTGCAGGTGGTGCGGGGTCTGAGCGCCGGTGCCCGTGTCTTTGAGCTGCTGACACTGGAGCCCCTCGTGCCTCTGCAGGGGGGGGAAACCATCCCTGCCCACTCCTTGCGCGGCCGCATCTGCTTCCACCGCGTTTCCTTCAGGTGAGGCCCCTCTATCCCCCGCAGCCTCCCATGCTGCCCTGCAGGTGTGGGGCTAGCACCGTGTCCCCGCAGCCCCCACAGCCTCCCTCTCCTCTGTCTGCAGTTATCCCACCCGGCCTGGCTACCCGGTCCTGCAGGACTTCAGCCTCACCCTGCCCCCCTGTCAGACCGTGGCCATAGTAGGACCCTCTGGAGGAGGTACCAGACCCTCTGGACCCCCACATCACAGCCCCGTGGGACCTCAGTGTCCCAGCCCCTTTCCTCTCCCTGGGCATATCCTCCTGCACCGCAGTCCTCTGCTCAGTGCACCCAGTGGGTGCCAGGGACTGGGACCTCTCCGGTGCTGTCAGAGCCGAAGGGCTGAGAGGTCCCCTCCATAGGGAAGTCGACGGTGGCGGCACTGCTGGAGCGGTTCTACGAGCCCACGGCAGGAACCATCACCCTGGATGGGCACGACATTGCCAACCTGGACCCCTCCTGGCTGCGGGGGCAGGTCATCGGCTTCATCAGCCAGGTGGGGACAGGTGGGGACAGGAGGGACAGGTGAGGGGCTGGCTGTCCCCAGGGCTCAGCACTGAGTCCCTGGGCACTGCTGCAGGAGCCGGTGCTGTTTGCGACAACCATCATGGAGAACATCCGCTTCGGGAAGCCAGAAGCCTCTGACGCCGAGGTGTACGAGGCTGCCCGGCAGGCCAACGCCGACAGCTTCATCCGCAGCTTCCCCCAGGGCTACGACACCGTTGTGGGTACGGCTGGGGCGGGAGGGGGAGGAGTGGGTGTGGGACCCTGGTAGGGGTGACCCCAGTCCCACGGCAGCACTGTCTGCTGGTCACTGCCAGCACTCAGCTGTCCCGGAGGGAGCCGTGGCCACGCTAGGCTCTGGACAGGAGGGATGGGGTTTGGGTGAGGAGGGTCCCTGGCTCTGGGTTGGGGCTTCTCCCAGGATAGTACAGCAGTTGTTCCCCCATCCCTCGGTTGTCTCCCCCATCCCGTGGCTGTCCCCCCATCCCGCAGCATCTCCGTGCTGTCCCCCATGCCGCGGTGTCCCCGGTGTCCCTTAGGTGAGCGCGGTGCGGCACTGTCAGGGGGGCAGAAGCAGCGCATTGCCATCGCCCGTGCGCTGCTCAAGGACCCGGCCGTGCTCATCCTGGACGAGGCCACGAGTGCGCTGGACGCGCAGGCGGAGCGGGCGGTGCAAGAGGCGCTGGACCGGGCAGCCACGGGCCGCACCGTGCTGCTCATCGCCCACCGCCTCAGCACCATCCGCGCCGCCAGCCTCATCGCCGTGCTGGCCCGCGGCCGCGTGGCCGAGGTGAGACCGGCACCGGGGTGGGCACAGGGGCGGCACGCGGGCACCCGGGGGTGACACTGTCCTCGCTGTCCCCGCAGGCAGGGACCCACGAGGAGCTGGTGCGACGGGGGGGTCTCTACGCCGAGCTCATCCGACAGCAGACCAAGCAGGGGTCCTGAGGGAGGGCCCCCCAGCTGCTCCCCAATGAACAAAGGAGGGGTCTTGAGGGGTTCCCCAGTGAACAAGGGGAGTGTGCTGAGGGGGTCCCCCCACTGTTCCCCAATAAACAGGGATGGAAGGCGGATGGGGGGCTCTGCTCTGCTCTGGTGGGACGCACTGTAGGGTCCTCCGGGCCGCTCAGGGGCGCCCTTAGCACCGGGAGGGGGAGGGGTCCAGGAGGGGGCGGGGACCGCGTCGAGGGATGTTCTTCTCTATGGGCGTGGCTGGCCGTGCTGGCCCCGCCCCCTGCCCCGGCTCCGCGGGTACGGGGCTGGGGCGTCCCCTGTGTTACCCCCTCGTTGGGATGAGCCCTTCCTCCATAGATGGGAGACCGGCCCCTGTGTGGCCCTCTTGGGGTGGGGACCCCCTGCATCACCCCGCGTGACCCCCCAGAGTTGAGGGTTCCATATGTCGCCCGTGGAGTGGGGGACCCCTATGTCACCCTCGGAGTGAGGGAACGCTGCATCACCCCCGGGGTAGGGGAGCTCCTGTGTCACCCCTGAGATGAGGGGCCTCTCTGTGACCCCCTGGGGTAGGGAGTCCCATGTGTCACCTTCGGAGTGGGCGACCCCCTGGGTGACCTCTGTGCTGGGGAGCCCCCTGTGTGATCCCCGCTGGGGCGGGGCGGTCACCTGTGTCCCCGTCCAGGGTGGAGGACCCTGTATCATCCCCGAAGTGAAGGAACCCTGGGTCACCCCCTGGAGTGGAGGAACCCCGACATGACCCCGGGACTGGGGACCCCTGGGATGGGGGTTACCCCTGTGTGACCACAGGGGCTGGAGGGTCTGCTGTGTCGCCCCTCAGGGTAGGGAACCCCTGTGTCACCCCCCCAGTGTGGGGGAATCTCTGTGACCCTCTGGGGTAGGATCAGCCCTGCATGACCCTCCCGGAGTGGGGAGGTCTCCTATGTCAGGCTTAGGATTGGGGGACCCCTGTGTCACCCCCGAAGTGGGGGGACCCTGTGACATCTTTCTAGGGTGAAAGGACGACTGCATCACCCGCCGGCGTGGGGGAACCTCTGCGTGACCCCGGGCTGGGGGGGACCGCTGTGTGACCCCCGCGGTGGGTTCCCCATGGGCCGCCCGATGAAGGGGCGCTGCTGACCCCTCCCTTCCCCGGGGGTCTCAGCCCCTCCGTACCCCAATGCCGCGGCCGCCGGCGGGGGCGGCGGGTGGAGCCGAGCGGGAGGGGCGGGGGCGGCGGCGGCGGGGCGGCGGGGACCGGCGGCGGCGGCGGCTGCGCCGCGGCGGGAGCGGAGCCGGGACCGGGGCTGGAACCGGGACTGGAACCGAGACCGGGGCCGGGACCGGGGCTGGGGCTGGAGCTGGGGTTGGAACAGGGACCGGGGCTGGAACCGGGACCGGGGCTGGAACCGGGACCGGGGCTGGGGCTGAGATCGGGGCTGCGCCGCGGCGGAGTCCCTGCTGTGTCCGGGGCTGGGAGCGGATCCGGGACCGGGATCAAGATCGGGACTGGCGCTGGAACCAGGACCGGATCCGAGACCGGAGCTGGAACCAGGACCTGGGCTGGGGCTGCGACTGGGACCGGGGCTGCGCCGCCAGCGGCCCCGCGGCACTGGCTGGGCAGCACCGGCACCGGCGACACGGGGGAGCGGAGCGGCCGGTCCTGTCCTGCCATCCGCTGCCTTCCTCTGCCCTGCCCACCCTCCTCCTCCGTGCCCTCCCCGCCGGCAGCGCCCTGAGCACGGCGCGGCGATGGGCTGAGAGTGCCGGGCACGGCGGGGCCCCGGTGGCGGCAGGATGAGGGGGGGCTCGGAGGGCAGCGGGGAGGGCGAGGGGCTCTCGAGCCTGCGGGCCTTCGCCCACAGCTCCTCGCTGCACGGCATCAGCCACGTCTTCGCCTACGGGGCCGTGTCCCTGCGCCGCGTGCTCTGGGGCGGCTTCTTCCTGGGCTCACTGGGGCTGCTGCTGCTCGTGTGTGCCGAGCGCGTCGCCTACTTCCTCACCTACCCCCACGTCACCAAGCTGGACGAGGTGGCTGCCCGCAACCTCACCTTCCCGGCCATCACCATCTGCAACCTCAACGAGTTCCGCTTCTCCAAAATCACCCGCAACGACATGTACCACGTGGGCGAACTGCTGGCGCTGCTCAACGAGCGCTACGAGATCAGCAACCCGCAGCTGGCCGAGCCCCACGTCCTGGCTGCCCTGAGGGACAAGGCCAACTTCAAGAACTTCAAGGCGAAGCCCTTCAGCATGGCTGAGTTCTACAACCGCACCGGCCACGACCTGGCCGAGATGCTGCTGCAGTGCACCTTCCGTGGCACCGGCTGCACCGCCCGCAACTTCACCGTGGTGAGTGCCCAGAGGGTGGGGCAGGGACCTCCATGTGCCCCCGGGGCTGTGGAGGGACACGGGTGACCTGCCAGGGTCAGCCACTCCTAAGTGAGCTCTTCCTCCCATCCTGCTGCACGTGGGCACATCGAGGATGGGGAGGGGACCCGCTGTGTGGCCCTGGGGCTATGGAGGGACATGGGTGTCCTATCGGGGTTGGGCATTGGCAGCTGAGCCCCTTCTTCCATCCTGCTTCTGCATCTCACCACCCACAGCACCATCAGCCCCTACCCACCTTCCTGGGCACTGCAGAGGGACCTGGGTGTCCTGCCAAGGTCAGGCACCTGTGGGTGAGCCCCTTCTCTGGCTGACCAGTGCATCCCACCACCCACAGCACCATCAGTCTCTGCCCGCCCCTCTGGACACAGTGGCTGCCAACCAGGGGTGTCCCTGCCCCGCACGCCGCAGGGGTGCCAGGCGGCTGGGAACGGTGCCCAGGCTGGAGCGGGGCTGTGCTGGTGGCTCTGTGCAGGGTGGGGAGCTGTGCTGGCATGCAGGCACAGGGATGGGGTGGTGGTGGGCACGGGATACTCATGGGTATGGGGTGCTCACAGCTGTGGGGTGCTCACCTTTATAAGGTGCAACCCCCAGCTCCACTCCCCTGTTCCAGCTCCAGGTACCACCTGGGCACTGCAACCAGCAGCTGCTGCCCTGGCTGTTGGCACAGAGGCTCCCAGGGGCAGCTCCTTCACACCCGGCACAGGTGGGGGTCCCTGTGCAAGCACTGGCCCCACCACTGTCCCCAGAGCAGGGCAGGGACAGTGGTACTAGCTGGGATCATGGCACGTGGGTGACAGGCAGGGACGGGGGAACAGGCAGCGATGGTGGCACAGGCAGGACGGGTACATCCCTCATGCTGCAGCAGCATGCTGGGCAGCCCATGCCTGCTGTGCCTAGTGCCCATCTCTGTCCCAGCAATTACTGTCACCTTAATGCTCTTAGAGCACCAGTTAATTCTCTGGAGCTCAGGGATGAGCTGCCCTTCAGCAGCTCCATGCCCTCCCTGTGGCCCCTGTGCCCTCGCGCCCTTGGCCAGAGCCTCTCTGCTGGCGCCTCTGCAGCAGGACCAGGCAGTGGTGTTGGCCCCCGGGCTCGAGGGCCAGGACATGTGGCTGGAGGGCTTAGTCCTGGATTGGGATCCTCTGCTCTGGGTTGTGGCACTGAGCTCTGGCACTGTGTCCCTGCGCCCTGTCCCACCCCATACTCAGGGTCCCTGAGGTCCCTGGGCACGTGGCAAAGGCCCAAGAGCCATTGGGGTGGGCTGTTCCCCCTTGCCTCCTCCAGGGCCGGTGGGATGGGGCAGGATGGCAGTGCAGGGACATGGATCCAGGGATGGAACAGCAGAGAGTGGCAACAGCAGGCCCCAGGGTGCAGGGCTGGGGGTCCCTGGGTGACCTGAGTGTGGAAAGCAGGAGGGCTGGCAGTGCCAGGGCCATCTCCCAATCCCTGTCCCCATCCATACCCCCCCAGGCATTCCCATGCCGGGCAGTCGTTGCCATGACACCCGCCCCCCCCTTTCCTCCTTGGGCACCGTGTTGCCATGGTGACAGGTCCCCACTTTGGGAGCAGCTTGTTTCCACAGCAACGCCCCCTCCCCCCATGGGACACTGCGGGGGGGGGCACATATAGCGGGGGGGGGTGACCCCATGGGGCCAGTCCTGGGGCCTCTGGATGACTCCAGGAGCCCTGGCTGCAGATGCCAGTCCATGAAGGCTCAAGGTCACCCTTCAGGTCCCTGGCTGGGGGTGCAGGTCCCCAGGGTCGCTGGGGTGGCTGGCCCAGGACAGGCTTTCAGGTTCTGAGGGGACACAGTGGCCTCTGCCACTGTGACTAAGGATCCCAATCCCCATCACCATCCTGGCTTGTGCCCTCCCTGCTCAAGTGTCCCCACATGTCCCCTGGAGCCTCACTGAAACCCAATATCCCTGCAGAGTCATGGCAGCCCAGACACAGGCAGGGCAGGGCGGGCACTGTCACCGTTCTAGCCTTGCCGTGGACCCTGGCAGGCTCTGGGATCCTGCCCCGAGGCACTGGGATCCTGCACTGTGTCCTGGAGAACACTCGGATCCCTTCCCAGGGCACTGGGATCCTGCACTGTGTCCTGAGGGGTACTGGGATCCTGCCCTGTCCTCACAGGGTCCCCACAGTGTCACCCAGGGCCCTGCCCCCATGTCCCGTGTGTCCCCGCAGATCTTCACACGCCTGGGGAAGTGCTACACGTTCAACCCGGGGGGGCCGGGGCGCGAGGTCCTGACCACACTGCAGGGGGGCTCTGGAAACGGCCTCGAGCTCATGCTCAACGTGCAGCAGGAGGAATATCTGCCTGTCTGGGGGGACACAGGTGAGACCCCTGCCTGTCTGGGGACACAGGGGAGCACCCCTGTGCGGCACCTGACCCCACCCCCCTGCCCTGCAGACGAGACATCGTTCGAGGTGGGGGTGAAGGTGCAGATCCACAGCCAGGAAGAGCCGCCCTTCATTGACCAACTGGGCTTTGGTGTCGCCCCCGGCTTCCAGACCTTCGTCTCCTGCCAGCAGCAGCGGGTATCCGGACACGGCGCCCAGGGCTGTGACCCCTGAGGGATCACAGGATGGACCCCCAGAGGGCTTGGGATGGGCCCCCAAAGGGCTTGAGACAGCCTGGTGTGGACACACTGGGACACCCCGAGCCATAGGGACATCCTGAACCCTGCCATGGGTACCACAGCCATCCCCACAGGGACATCCCGTGCCAAGCTATGCTGTGGGTACCACAGCCATCCCTGCAGGGACATCCTGTGCTAAGCTGTGCCATAAGTATGGTGCCATCACGCTGGCCGGGAGCAGCACACGGTGTGGGGCAGCCCCACATGGGGACCACGCAGCTTCTCCACAGGCTCCAGCTCCAGCAGCGACCCCCTGGCTCCCATGGAACAGCCGCCAGGGGGGTGGCAGCACCCAGCCCCCGCAGCCAGACACCTAAATTTAGGTGCCTTGGGTGGGTGTCACCACGTGTGCCGGCGCGCGTGGCACAGGCGGCAGGAGCGTGGCGGCAGCAGGAGCGCGGCCCTGGCACCCACGGGTGGGGGTGCTGGGTCCCTCACCAGGCACGATCCCTGCATGCCTGGCTCCTGTGTGCTCCCAGGTGCCACGTGCCAGCCCTTGCCGGCTCCTTCCCTTCCACTGTGGCACCTGGTGCAGGTGACACTGCCTGCGACACCTGTCCTGAGCCTGGCAGGGAGGGACAGGGTGGGATGGGGACACCAGGGGTGCAGGACCAGGACCCCCCAGCACTCGTCTGGCTCCCGTGTGCTCCCAGTTGCCATGTGCCACCCTTGCTGTGGCACGTGGTAGAGGTGACACTGCCTGCAACACCCATCCCCAAGACCAGAAAGGAGAGGACAGCGTAGGAGGGGGCACTCTGGGGCGGTAGGACCTCCCAGCACCGGCTGTGCAGGATAAGCTCTTCCTGTGGTGGGCTGGGAGGTGGCAGCGTGGCCAGGGACGACACCAGGGACTACCCCAGTGATGACAGTGGGAACCCCGGGACACCGTGTTTTCCTTAGCGGGCGCCCGGCAGCTCGTGTACCTGCCCCCCCCGTGGGGGGACTGCAAGGCCACCCCCATCGAGTCCGACTTCTTCACCAACTACAGCCTGACCGCGTGCCGCCTGGACTGCGAGACGCGCTACCTGGCCGAGAACTGCAACTGCCGCATGGTGCACATGCCGGGTGAGCGGGGGGGCGGCCGGGGGGCTGCGGTGGCTGCCGGGACGCCCCCCCGCCCCTGCGAGCGCCGCCTCCCCCGCAGGCAACGCCAATGTCTGCACCCCGGAGCAGTACAAGGAATGTGCTGACCCCGCGCTGGGTACGTACCGCCGGTCCCCCAACGTCCCCGGGCACCCCTGGGACCCCTCCCCTTCACTGTGCCCCTATTGCTGCGAGTGTGGCTCTGGTGTCCCTGTGCCCTCTGTGCCCCCATCACTGCAGCCGTGGCTCCAGTGTCTTTGTGCCCTCACCAGGGTGGGGGTCACCACTGTCCCCAGACACGCAGGGCTGGGTTCCCCCCACGTGCCACCGATTCTGTCCCCGAGTGTCCCCCCTGGGCAGGGATCCTGGGGCTCCCTGTCCCACCCGTGCCCCCCCAGACTTCCTGGTGACGAAGGACAGCGAGTACTGTGCGTGCCGCACACCCTGTGCCATGGTGCGCTACGGCAAAGAGCTCTCCATGGTGAAGATCCCCAGCAAGGCCTCGGCCAAGTACCTGGCCAAGAAGTTCAACAAGACAGAGCAGTACATCGCGTGAGTGACACTGCCACCCCTGCCACCGCTGGTGCCACTACCATGTCACCCTCTGCCCCGCCAGCACACCGTGTGGCACAGCGTGACGGTGTGACATGGCACAGCACAGCCACACAGCATCCCCAGCATGTGAACTGGTGTGATGGTGTGACATAGCACCCAGCATGAACCAGCACGCTGTGATACGGCACCGCCGGGAGCCATGAACTGGCACAGCCCAGAGCAATGTGTGACACAGCATGGCCACAGGGTGTCCCCAGCACACATGTGTGGCATCCCCAGCACATGTGAACTGGCCCGGCACGATGTGATGATGTGATAAGGCACAGTATGGCCACACGGTGTTCCCCAGCATCCGTGCAGTGCTGTGACATGGCACAGCCACACAGCATCCCCAGCACGTGTAAGCTGGCACGGCACAGTGTGATGGTGGGACACAGCATGGCACAGCCACATGGCATCACCAGAATCCTTGAACTGGCACAGCACAGCATGGTGTGATGGTGTGACAAGGCATGGCCACACGTTACCAGCACACATGAACTGGCCCAGCACAGCACAGCGTACCCTGTGCAAATATGCCCCAGCAAAGGGAAAAACATGTGGCACTGCATGGCACAGCACAACATGGCATGGCACAGATGGCACCGCATGGCATGATGCTACATGGCACAGCCCAGTATGGTGCAGCATGGCACAGGGCCCCAGAATACAGCCCAGCACATCCTTGTGCCCCCCAGCACCAGGCAGACCCCTCTGCTCATTCCCCTGTACCCCGTGGCACAGTTCAGCCCCACCCCCACCCCAGCACAGCCTGGTACAGCCCCTCAGCCCCCTGTGCCTGACACTGTCCCCTCGTCCCGTGTCCCCCAGGGACAATGTGCTGGTCCTAGACATCTTCTTCGAGGCGCTGAACTACGAGATGATTGAGCAGAAGAAGGCGTACGAGGTGGCAGGGCTGCTGGGTGAGGGCCGGGGAGGCCGGGTGAGGGCTGGGGGGGGGCCCGGAGGGGCTCCGAGGGGTTTGTTCTCTGACACTGCCCCCCGCCCAGGTGACATCGGGGGGCAGATGGGGCTCTTCATCGGCGCCAGCCTCCTCACCATCCTGGAGATCTTTGATTACCTGTACGAGGTGAGGCCCCCGATACCCCCAACAGCCCCTCTGCCTGGGGGTCTCGGGGACGGGGCCTTTCACCTGCACCCTCCCAGGTGTTCCGGGACAAACTCCTGAGCCTGTACAAGGAGAAGAAGCGAAGCCCCCGCAGCGACGGCGGCACCCTGGTAACTTCCCGCGCCTCCCGCCACCAGCCCCCAGCCGGGGGGTCGCATCTCATTCCCCTTCCCCGGCTCACCGCTCTCTCGTACCCCTGTGCGCCCATCCAGGAGCACCCGGCGATCCCGGGCAGCCCTGCGGCCCCGCGGCCACCCAGGTACACGCGGGGGGGCACCCGGAGCCCCCCGGGGTCGGGGGGCCATTCCCTGCAGAACTCCCATTCCCTGCGGACCCCGCCCCTCATTCCCTGCAGATCCCCCCATTCCCCACAGACTCCTCCCATCCCCCTACGGACCCCTCATCCTCTGCAGATACCCCATCCCCTGCCGATCCTCCCATCCCACGTGGACCCCTGAGTTCCCTGCAGATCCCCGATTCCCTGCAGACACCCCGAAACCCTGCATACACCTCATCCCCTGTCTTCATCATGGTCTCCGGCACCCTGTCCCGGGGTCCCCCGCCACCCGCGGAGCCCCCCCAGCCAGGCTGGGACCCCCCAACCTCCCCTCCGGGACGCGGTGGGGCAGAGGGGAGGGGACTGCACAGCGGCTGTGTGGTGGACCCCCAAAGCTGGAAGGCTGCCAGGGCATCCCAGGGGGCACATGGGGTGGGGGCCAGGGGCTGAGCCCCACAGCAGGTCAGGACGCAAGGGGAGGGGGATGGCAGGGGGAAACCGATCCCCCCACCCCTCCTAACCCTCCGACCCCCCCGCAGAGCGCCCGGTCCTCCCTGCGTGGCCCCACGCCCCGTCTCGGCGTCACCCCGAACCTGCTACCTCGTCACCCGGCTCTAGGGCCCCCCCGGGACCCGCCGCGGAGCCCAACCCGCTCCCCCGCCGGCCGGGGGGCCGGGGGGGCACCCCCGGGTCACAGGGCAGCCTCCTGTTCCCCCCCGCCCCCTGAGGGGGTGTCGGGGGGCTGGGGGCGAGGGCTCCCCAGCCCCGCTCCCGTGACCCTGCATGCGCTGCCTGTGCCCCCCCCGCGCTGGACATGCGACCCCCCCCTCCCGCAGCCTCCCCAAATAAAGAGGTGCCCCAGGCCCCGGCTCTGGGCTGCTGGGGGGCAGAGGGACACGGCTGCTCCAGGAACCAGAGCAGCACTGGGGAGGTCACAGGGGCGGGCTGAGGGGCAGGGGGTGTTGAGGAGGGTGTCCATTATGTGGCAGAGGGGGCTCCCTTGACACCCCAGGAAGGAGAAGGCGGCACTGGGCGGGGGGGAAGCTCTTTATGGGGTTCCAAACACACATCACCCACATATGGCAGTGCCCTAGAAAAGAAACGGGGTCCTCTCCCGACCCCCCGCAGAGGGGCTGTACCCAGATTTCCCCCCAGGCAGGGAAGGGGCTGGGGGGGAAGCAGACACAAGAGGCGTGGGGGTTCCACCACCCGCAGGGTCCCCATGCCTGGTCCCAGAGGGTCCTGGCCCTCCACCAGCATTGTGGCCCCATGTCCTCAGGAGGGTCTCATGTCCTGGAGGGGTCCCCTGCCCCCAGGGGTGTCCTGTGCCCCCAGGGGGAATCTGAGCGCCCTCAGCCCTCCCAGGGCTAGGGGGTCCAGGGGCCCCGTGCCAGCCCCCTGCAGCTGGGGCAGAACCTAATAAATACTGGGGGGGCTGCAGTTTAGGGGGGCTGGCACAGGCTGGGGACTGCCCACCCTTGAAGTGGGAGGGAGCCAGGGAGGGTTGGGGGGCCCTAGGGTGGGCAGAAGTCAGTGAAGTAGGGGTGCTGCAGGGCCTCCTCCGCCGAGATCCGCTGCACTGGGTTGCACTTGAGCAGGTTCTGGGGGACATGGTGGAGCTGAAGGAGGAGAGCACGGACAACCCCCCATCCCACAGCCTCCCAACTCCACTGTCCCCCTCAGATGGGTGGGGGGCTGTGAGGGGAGAGGGCAGCCACCCCCGGGGAGCCGGAGCCCCTCTGGCATGGGCAGGGGGACAGGTAGGGGGACAGAGGTTGGAGGGGGACACAGATGGGGTCTCACCTGCAGCAGGTCCCGGCCGGTCGCGTTCAGCTTGGGCACCACGTTGACCAGAGAGGTGGTGGCCGGGTACATGGGGTAGGGCTGGGGACACACAGGTGACCCACAGCCCACCCAGTACTCCCTCCAGCTCCCCTCAGTCCCCTCCTCACCTTATAGTCTGGCAGCTTGGCCATGGCCGGCCACTGCTCCTCCGTGGGGGTCCCCAGCAGCGTGGTGATGGTCAAGGGCCACCATGGGGGCACCCAGCACCTGACCCCCACAACCCCCTGCCCATCCAAGACAGGTCCCCATGCCCAGGGGTCCCCATTCCCACAAGGCTCCCCATTCCCAGGAGGTTCCCTATTCCCAACTGGGGTCCCCATTTCCAAGGGGGATTCCCAGAGGAGGTCCATTCCAAGGCTCCCCATTCCCAGAGCATCCCGTTTCCCCCATTCCCAAGGATATCGGAAGATCCTCTTCAGCTGGTCGTCCACGTCGTTCCCCGGGAAGAGGGGCCGCCCCGCGTTGGCCAGTTCTGGGGAGACAAAGGGTGGGTCCCAGGGCTCCTGCAGCCCCCCAGATCCCCCAGGGCCCCCCAACACACCTGCAAAGATGCACCCGGCTGACCACATGTCGATGGAGGTGGAGTAGAGCTTGGCACCGAAAAGGACATCGGGGGGCCGGTACCACAGAGTGACCACCTGGGAGGGACAGGACCCTCAGACAGGGACAGAGACACCAAGAGCACGGGGCAGCAGCACCCCGAGCCCCCCGAGCCCCCCTCACCTCAGCTGAGTAGCAGCGCACAGGGATGCCAAAGGCCCGGGCCAGCCCAAAATCCGCCAGCTTGAGCTCCCCATTCTGGGGGAGCAGGGGGGTCAGTGTGGGGGGCCCCACCTGTGCCACCTATACCCCAAAGGGGTGTTGTTCTGGTGCCCCCCACACCCCAGGGCAGGCAGTGGCCACTGCTTTGGCCACATCACCCTTTCCCATCACTGGGAACACAGGAGAGGTGGAGCTGCACCCACGGTCAGACAGGCTCCAGGTGTGACTCCCCCAGAGAGACAGACAGACAGCCCCCAGGTGTGACCCCCAGACAGACAGACAGACAGCCCCAGCTCTCAGGTGTGACCCCCCGCCCACACAGACAGACAGACAGACAGTCCCCAGCTCCTAGGTGTGACCCCCCAGACAGACAGACAGCCCCAGCTCCCACGTGTGACCCCCAGACAGACAGACAGACAGCTCCCAGGTGTGACCCCCAGACAGAGGACCTCCACGCCCCACCCTGTTGATGAGCAGGTTCTGGGGTTTCAGGTCCCGGTGCAGGACATTGCGGCTGTGGCAGAAGGCAAGGCCCTTCAGCAGCTGGTACATGAATGACTGCGGGGGACAAAGGGGGTTTGTCAGCCCCCCACACTGTGGACCCCTGTGGGGCCAGGCTGGGACACTGGGGACTCCGTGGGACCCCCAGACCCACCTTGACGATCTCAGGGTCCAGGTCCCCATTGCAGCTGTCAAAATATTTCTTCAGGTCCTGGGGGGGGAGCGAGGGGAGGCCGCATTGGGGGCGGCCGGGAGCGGTGACCCCCGGGGACCCCCTCGGGATCCTCAGGATCCCCCCGTGCCCCTGGTGCTCACTCACCTGGTCACAGAACTCAAAGACCAGGGTCAGCTTCTTGTCGCTGTGCAGGACATCGTGGAGCCTGCATGGGGGTGGTCCCTGAGCCCTCCAGTGCCCAGCCCAGCCCGGGGCATCTCGCATGGCAGTCCCTGAGCCTCCCACTGCCCTGCCCAAGGCAGCCGGGGGAGGCAGCCCCCTCCCACCTCGCCCCACAGCTCCCCCCCACTCCGGCCTGGGTCAGCCCGGGAGAGCAGCCCCCGTGCCGTGATCCCACAGCCCCTGTGACCCCACAGCCCCCGTGCCGTGACCCCACAGCCCCCGTGCCGTGACCCCATAGCCCCCGTGCCGTGACCCCATAGCCCCCGTGCCGTGATCCCATAGCCCCCGTGCCGTGATCCCACAGCCCCCGTGCCGTGACCCCACAGCCCCCGTGCCGTGATCCCACAGCCCCCGTGCCGTGACCCCACAGCCCGCGTGCCGTGACCCCACAGCCCCCTGTCCGCAGACGCCCCGGTACCTGACGATGTTCTTGTGTTTGAGCTCCTTGAGCAGGCAGATCTCCCGCAGCGCCGAGCTGGGCACTCCCTGCGGGACACGCCGGGTTGAGGGGCGGGGGTCGCAGCGGTCCAGGGGGGTCCCAGCCCCACCACCCCCGTCACCTCATCGTCGTCGTCCAGCCGCACCCGCTTCAGCGCCACGATCTCGTGCGTCTCCCGGTTCTTGGCCTTAAACACGGTCCCGTAGGTGCCTGCGGGGCGCGGGGAGGGGGTCACGGCGGGGCCCCCGCTAGCGACACCGGCCCCGCGGCCCTCAGGCCGCCCCGCACGACCCCGGCCCGGCCGCACCTTCCCCGATCTTCTCCAGCTTCTCGTATTTCTGCATGGCCGCGATGTCCCCAGCCCCGCCCGGCCCCGGCCCCGGCCCGGCCCCGCCGCCCTCCCTCCCGCCGGCCCTCGCGCCGCCCCGCCCGCCCCTCCCGGCAGCCCCGCGCCGCCCCGCCCGCCCGCCCGCCCCGCGCCGCCCCGCCCGCCCCGCCCGCCCCGCCCGGGGTTCGGGTTCGAGTCCCGGCGCCGCCCGTCTGATCCCGCCGCTCCCTCCGCCCGCCCTTCCCGCGGCACCGGCTCCGGGCGCAGTCCTTGCGGGAATCCCCTGCGGGCACGGTGTCCGCGCCCGCCGGGGACGGAGCCGGGAGCGGTGCACACACGCCCAGTGCCTCCCCGCCCCGCCCCGGCGCGCTCCCGCTCCTCCGCCCCGCGGGGACGCGCAGACCTGCCCGGCGCGGCCGGACTGTTCGGTAAGCGGCGGCACCGGGACCGGCACCGGGAGCGGCACCGGGACCGGCACGGCGAGGGAGGCGGCGGGGATGGAGGGGCGTGGCACGGCCGGTCCCATCCCGATCCTGATCTCGGTCCACGTCCCTGTCCTGTCCCAGCGCCCCGCCCGCCCGGTGCCACCGTCCCCGCCGGTGCTGTCTCCGTTCCCCACCGTTGTGTCCCGCCCGCGGCTTTCCCTCCGTTCCTCTCCTTCCGTTCCCCTTCCGGCCCTTCCCATCCCGCCCCGCCCGCTCGCGGCAGTCCCGGTCCCGATCTCCGTGCCCGTCCTGGGCTCCCCCGCTATGGCAGCCCCGAGTCCCGGCGTGGCCGCCTCTCCGCTTCCCCCGCTGCCCCCTCGCAGATCCCCGGCCGCGGTGGGGGGTGTCGGGGGAGCTGTGCCGTGTCCCGTGGCTCCGGATCCCCCAGGACACGCTCCGTGTACCCCAGCTCCTTCGGCCGGGGGGGAGCAGCACCGGCAGTCCCCGGTCCCCACCTCCCCGGACCTCTCCCGGACACCCTAGGACCCCCCCGGGACCCCCCGGCCCCCTCCCGGATATTCCAAGAGTCCCCGACCCCCATCAGGACCCCCCAGCACCCCCAAGGACCCCCATCCTCCTAACCAGTGACGATGCCACCCAGGTCATCGAACCTCGTTCCCTCCCCGCCACCACCGGAGCCACGTGCGGGGTGGTCTCAGGTGATCCCAGACCCTGTTCTCGGGGTGACAGTGGGCCCGGGACCCACGGGAGTGAGAGAGCCGGGACCCTTCATCCCTCATCACCCTCTCTCTTGCAGCGAGGCTGCTCCATGCGCTTCCCCTCCGGTGCCTGAGCCCGGCAGCTCTCGGCAGGTGAGAGACGCGGGGCCGGGGAGGGGACCCGGGGTGTGTGTCCTTGTCACCGGGCTGGAGCCATCCGGAAACGACGGGCTCCCCCGGAGCACAAGGGTCCGAGGGGTCCATGGGCCGGGGAAGGGACTGGGGGTGTGTCCCTGTCACTGGGCT